TGTGTGTGTGTGTGTGTGTGTGTGTGTGTGTGTGTGTGTGTGTGTGTGTGCACGCGTGCGTGTGTGTGTGTGTATGTGCTTATGTGTATGCATGGCATATATTTAAATACACAAATATATATCAGAGCATCAGCAGTATTCCGATCACACTATTTAAAATTGTCTTCCCCATTTCAATGACATTAGCAACATAATAAATAAAACAATACACTTTAAAACAACGAAGAAAAGATTAAGTGTGTGTATGGTTACAAAAGTACCAAGCTATAGATAAGGAACGTAAAAAAAAGGAGAAAAATATTAGATTTCACTCGATAAAAAAATATTGAATATCATCCTCTCACGATACAGGGATGTGCATCTATGTATGTGTAATAGGGGTGCATATAAAACAGATGTACATGAAAGCATTGAGAAACACATGTAGGTTTATACATGCAAATGCAGATACATGGGTATATAAAAAAATCGTGTACAGACACCCACACACAAACACACTCCCTCTCTCTTTCTCCCATACACACACGCACACACACACACACGTACATGGGATGCAGTTTCTATTCTTCAATCATATTCAGAATATATTAACTAACAGTCTGCCTAAACATATAAAGAGAGCTACATAAACACCTGTAATTTCATACACACAAAAAAATCACGCATGCACTATTACATATCACACAAATACACACACACATACATACTTACACACAAACTCTTTCTCTCTCTCTCTCTCGCTCACACACACACAGCTCTTAACCGCGTCTCTCTTGCTAATGTCTGCATGCTGGTCTGCGTGTGTATCGTGTCAATATTGACAGACTGACCTTGCAGATATAACCTAAAGGTCAAGATGTACGAGATGACGCAATAAGACGATGGCATGGGTACGTGGACATGGGCATGGGTATGACACCAAGGTCACAACCCATGGACATGACATGTGTATGATCACGTGGACACCTATGACACCACAGGTATGCTACCAGGGACACGACACCAATGGGACACTCGACACCTCACATACGACACCAAGGCAACACATGACACCGCAGCTACACACAACACCTTACAGACAGCACCATGGCTACACATGACACCACAGTAAGAATTGCATATCAGAATCACAACAACATTACAGAATACATATTTCTCTGTCTCGGCATTTGGTTATAACTAGTGATCTTGGCTAATACAACACCGCGCTACAGAAAGCATCCTACGGGTTTATGGTTATACTCATGGTAAAAAAAATGTGTATGCTTAGGTCAAAGAGGAAGGTATACTCGTGACAGAGAGATGGTTATATTTACGGCAAGACAAGGGCATAAACACAGCAAAAAGACAGGTATGCCCACAACCACAACAAAGTCATCAGTCATCCCCACATAAAAGAACACACCCACACAACAAAGTCATCAGTCATCCCCACAACAAAACCAAAGCTATACTCACGGCGAAGAGATGACAAGTGGTGATCGACAGACCGATGGCGAGAGGAGCTGATCCCTTCACGTCATTCCTGCGTTCATCACACGCCCCGAAGACGGTGATGACCAAGACGAAGGTGATGAGGAGCTCGATGCCCAATGCCTGTGCCGTGTCAATCTTTTCATTCCTCAGGGTCATGCCGAGGGACCCCTGGATGTCTGCGGGGGTCACGCCCTGAGGGGAGGAGAGAGGGAAGGGGGGTTAGGTGGGTGGTGGTGATGATGATGATGATGATGGTGATGGTGATGGTGACGGAGATGATGGTGAGGGAGGTGATAGTGATAATGGTGATGACGGTGATGATGGTGACGTGGCGTGGTGCAGGAACACACGTGCGCTCTCTATAACTTTCTCTTTCTCTTCTGTCTAGTTATTTATAAATTAACCTATATATCAACCTATATATCCGTCTATCTATCTATCTTTGTCTATTCAACTGTTATCTATCTGTCTCTCTATCTCTATCTATCTATCTATCCCTTCTCCTATTAATCTCCTCGTCTTTTTCACCTCTCCCCCCCCCTCTCTCCTTTCGTCGGATGAACTCACATATAATGATTACGAGTCACGTGGTATGTATGAATTTTTTTCCGCCATGTACCTGGAACTGTGACATTAACCCTAAAAAAGGTAATGTGTGTGTGTGTGTACGTGTGTATGCGTGTGTGTGTGTGTGTGTGTGTGTGTGTGTGTGTGTGTGTGTGTGTGGTGTGTGTGTGTGTGTGTGTGTGTGTGTGTGTGTGTGTGTGTGTGTATGTGTGTGTGTGTGTTTGCGTTTTTTTTTTTTTTTTTTTTTTTTTTGTCCGTGTCCCTCTCCCTCTCCTTTTGTCTCTCTCCCTCCTTTCTTCCCTCTTTCACTGTCTATCCACCTCTATCTCTCGCTGTGTCTCTTCCTTTTCTTCATCTACCCATCCCTCTTATCCTTTGGTTGCTTAGCACCATCCAGACGGTAAGCAAAAACACTGTCAGAAAGATGACTATGCATTTATCATGCTCGAGAGTTACCAGTTTGCATTCTTCCTATTCCTTATATTCTCTTATTGCATTTATTATCATTATTACTATTTTCTTATATAAGTTCCTGCTCGATTCGAATGTGGCAAAACACTAAGAATAAAAAAGATTGTGAGTCTGT